AATTCATTTAATTTGTGTTTTTTGATGGTGAATTGTATGAGCGTGGTCACGATAGCCTTGACTTGTGTATATGTACGAATGTACTTATTAAGTTTGAGATACATCTTCATAAATTGATCCTTAAAATACTTGTATCATTACAGATACTTTTTGTTTATAGTGATTTGTTCAAATTGATACGGATTGTTGCTTTCTTAGTTGGCTTAATTATGCATTTATTGTACTTGAACTGGGTTGGTCAACAAATAATTAATAGCAGCGAACAGGTTTTTATATCTGCGTTAGTAATGATATATATTTTGGATAAGTTTATAGAGAGTGTTTTTTAGCAGATATTATGAATTTGTATTTTACAAAAATAAATTATACTGACTTTATTATAAAACAGATATTTTAGTGACTGGTATTTGATACCAAACAGTACCAAAAAATTCATCAACATAATTATGATTCGTTCTTTAGTACCTTGTACACTAACGTCTGGCAAACTAGCAAATCTTTCCATGGAAAATTTCGGAATTGTAATACATATATATGACATTAGTTACATATATAACGATAAATGGATTTTATGTTGGAAATAATCATTATGTAACTTTCATATTTTTCAGTTACTGAAATCTGCGATGTCGTACTTTACTGTGATCTTATCCTTTTATGAATAAAAAAGTTAATTAAACGATCAAATCATACGTTTCACAATGAAACACAGTAGTATTTAATTGGGTATTTTCTGTAATGAACTTCTTTCAACTGTAAGTATAAATCGGTATAAATGAAAACAAATTTTCAGATACGAAGTAGATTTTTAATTCAATAAAAAATATACATTTATTATGTTATGTTGTTTCATCGTATGAGGCAATTCTGTTTGATGTTTGAGTCAGGGAAAAGAACTTCCGATGAGGAGGATAAAACGAAGCCACGCTTAACATGTTACTAACAATCAGTGTAAAGATAACAATAAATATAAATGTTTATTAGAATATTTTTAACCATTACATTATTACATAAAAGCTTTAACAATTCCGCGAATCATGAGTATATCTCGACGAAGGGAAATTCAATATCTGTATCTTTTAGATTTTCTTGTATTCAGTTATTAGCTAGCTCGTTCATTTTTGGAGAAAACATACTATGCCACGCTTGACTTTTTCCTTGTCGTATAAATGTGTCCTTCTTGAATATCACTTCCGCCTTATCACGTGTAAAGTTGACCATCTCATTGTTTTGCAGATTATGAAATGTTAAATGGTTAACTCATTTCTCATACTGTTCTTCCATGTATGATTTTCCTAAGAGATTGGCGACTTGTTTCGTCGTAGCTAGTAAGTCCTGTAGACATTTCAATGTTTATTCATGCAAATCAGTCGAATAAAGTATAATTATATTCAGCAATGAATGAAATATTCATTTTGCACAGTCACGTGAATCATTTCTTCATAAAATAAAAATAAAAAGTTTGGCTCGTGTCGATGTAGCCTATTTAGTTCCTCCCTGTGTCATGTATGTCATCGCTCCTTTATGTGTTTGAATCAACGACTGAACGAAACTTATTAAAACAGAAAATCATGAGAATGAATGTTGCAACAGCAGAATATCTTGTATAAATAAGAGAAAAATAATACCTTAATCATTTTGTAAGTAGTTCCAAAACCATTCAAAATCACCACAATAATCATAAGCTTTAACACTTTGATGAAAATGATAATAAGATACTGGCACATTTTTCGGATTACGGACTACATAAACTACCGGCAACAGAAACACAATACACTTGGGCTCCAAACTACATACACAGCGAATTTTACTTTTCAATGAGAAATCCACATATTTTACATATGGATTTCAAAATATTTGGAATCAAACTTAGTAAAAAAATGAGTTTTTATAAATCTTGAGCTTGTCATTAGTGTTTGCCGACTCATCTTTATTCCTACAGAATACGAATGTCTTCCATTTGTCGATGATATTGCTCTCGAAGCAACTGCTAAAGATACAAAGACTGCCATCGGATTATTAGAACATAATCTAAAAAGTGTTAATACTTTCCTTAAAAGAATCAATCTTTCCTTATCACTTGAAAAAACTAATACATACACACCAATCATATATACGCTATATCCTCTGGAGTGCATCCTGTCACGTAGCCTTATGGTCCATTATAAGCCTAAGGTGATGATGTAACGAGAGCTGTTCTCGTTCCCAAGACGTTGGGGTTGGGACATCGACCTTTTATGCGGACAGCATCTCTCTCTCTCTCTCTCTCTCTCTCTGCAAAGGCGACGAGTTGGTAAGTTAGCGTATTTGAATGGCCATTCAAATACCGCGATATTCTCCTTAAATGTACCCGGTATTGCAGCTTGTAATAATCTCAACCTCCTTGTACATTTAACCGTTGTATATTTGAAACTTAATTGTAACGTCAATGGCTTTTCCCCCAATTACGGGTGGGATTTTGTATTAAATATTAATTCCTTTGCAATAAAAACACCATTTCTTTAAATAACTGACAGATCTCCTTATTTATTTGAAACTCGCATGATACTCCTATCCTTCATCTACAGGTAAAACCTTTTATTTACTATTTTCAGCGGAGGCTAGAGCTAAAATTGCAATACCTTCAGTTCTCTAAATACAATCTATTAATGTTCGTTATGAATTTCTTTTAATTCGTGAAATAGTAATTTTTTACTTTATTTGTACTACTTCCAGAAAATTTCAATCATTGTTTCATGATCGTTCAATTTATCAAAGTCGTTAGTCAACTGTTTATTTGTCTTCGAGAATATTTACATTATAACAATTGGCAACATTAGCAGCATTGTTTTTTTATCTTTGTTTTGTCTTGCAAATATTCGTAACATGCAAAGAATCAATACATAGTATGTATGAAAAGCACTAGGTGTCGGCAACATCGTAGCATTCAAACCATTAGACTTGCACACCTGAATGTTTCAACAATCTTTCGCACAGAGCGGGTTGTTGATGTTGCCTTTGTTTAAAATTCAAACGCGTCTTAAACGTGAGATGCTATAGTGACAATCATTGTGGATACGGTCGCCATCAAGCAAAGTTATAATGTACTTTCTTGTTTCTTATTTGATTCAGAAAGTCGTTAAAGACTAAACAAGTAACATAAATACCTGCCCTTACTTGTACAAATTTACGAGCTACTAATGAACCCTTGACCAAGGGAGGGTAGGTGTTCAACATGTTGTGCTTTATTTTTCTGTCGGAACCAGTGTTCATAATGTTGTTCACTGTTTATGGATCTCTGAATGAAGATCAGGAAACACAAAAGTATCCGAATAAGGTCTGTTGATATTATTAAAGTAGCAGACAAACAAGAGCTTTATTATTTATAGGAGTGGAAGAACGAGCGGTATTACCTCATATGACAGTAGCAGCTGTAGCAGTATAATAAGAAAAATGCTACCAACTACATTGACGGAGTTCTTGCTCAAAGAATGACAAGAATTATGTAATACTTATCTTTTTCCGATATCTGTCTCAAAATTTGTTTATAAAATTAATGTAATAGTTAAATAACTATTGCGTGATAAAGATAATAAATCTACAATTAAACAAATAAATAAATGAGTAGTATGTAAATTTACGTATAAGCCAAATGAATTTAAAAGATATTATCATTGCTCATTGTGAGCTCTAACACCCTTTAAAATATTTTATGAAAGCAGGAAATTCGTGTAACAAAAATAGACTAATATGTATTTTGAAAAATAAACAGAAAAACACGTAAAAAGCGACTATTTAAATAATTTCTAAACATGTAATAAATATTTAACTATAACTTTTCCAAAATTATGCCGCATTGCTTGGCTAATTAAACTATACACACAAAGTTTCAGTGAAATGACTCCAAAATGATAAAAATTCTAGGTGATAACATACACACATACGGAAAAATACGTGTTTTTAAGTATGAAATACATTTTTAACGATAACTATGACATTTACGCAATGAAAATACCATATAGACTTCATACACGTACGAACTTTCAATAAGATATCTTCAAAATCACAAAAATGTCAGGTATCGATTAATACCACAAAAAAACAGCATTAAAAAAAATTAAATCATAGACTTCTAACTTAAATGAAATAATATATCATATTAATAAGTGGAGTCTAATATAACCACACAAAATAAAATTGAACAAAAAAATCATAGAAACAAAAAAATTACAGCGAAATAGAGAATAATATTCCGAATCGCGAAAACAGTGCTTCCACTTCAAGGAAGCAAAACGATCGAGCCTTAATCTATCTCATCAGAGCGAGTGCTACTTCGACAATCTCGACGACTGTATGAACGTCGTAGCAGAACTTGAAAAAAACAGAAACTCGAATTACGTTACAAAAAAGAGTTCTTCAATAAAGAAGGAATATTCTTAAATTAAGTATGCAGAAAATTCAACTTCACGATGTTTTTTAGAGAAGCAGCTAAACAAGTTATACACGTGAAATTGAAAATAGGTCTCATTTGTTATATCCAGAAGTGCTCGATGTGAAAATATTGATCTTTGTAATTGCAAATAATCGCGAGAAAAGCGAAAAACACAAAAGTTTTTAAAATTGCTGCTTTCGTACTAGTTTATTGTAGTATACCGTAAACAATATAGTAAAACAGTAAGAATTATTATCAAGAAAATATAAGCATTCGATTGTTATGAAAATAAAAAGTTGCTGTGGCTAAATTAAGCAAATGATGTTACTGTGATAATCCTGAAGACGAGATAACATAATATAAATGCTATTATTGTAGTCCATAGAAATAATTGTATTACTGGATCTCCTTGAATCGATTGGTTTTTATATCTATGTCTACGTCGTATTTTGATATAATTGCTGTAACCATCATCCACCTTTCCACGTAAAATGATTATAGAATAATTACATCAATTTTCAGACTCGCTCTAGGTCTTTAAACGTCAAAGAATAAATTTTTTTAATCGTGAAATGACTATCTTGCTTGCGTGATCGACATTTTTTTTCGAAGCCCAGAGCTTATGTTCAAAATATCTCAGTAACATGGACATTTTCGATGGTTATTATTATAAAAGTTGTAAAAGGTTTATGTCATTATGTGGATTGTGGCCTGAACAAAATAACAAAAGTCGATATTTAAGGTTGATTGTTTTCGTAATCTTTAATGCTTCATTGGCGGTGCCACAGGTAATTTTCTTCAAGAGAAATCATAAAATACGTATGTTTTATTTTAAATGTACGTTGATTGAAAAAAAATGTTGAAGTTTGAATTTAAAAAAATTCTAATAATATTACTTTATACTCAATACAGCTCATTCTTTTAATTCAACAGTTCGGAAAAGATATGGCAATAACTTTTGAAAATTCAGTTTCAGTTATGTTTGCTTTAGGTGTATTTGCGAAATATCTAGTTGCTTTTGTAAATAAAAAGCGGGTAAGCTGTGAACATTTTTATTTAATTTTATATTATTAATAGATAAGTACTTTTTCAAATAAAGTTTATAATATTATTCTAATGGAAAGACAAATAAAACATTTAATCATGATAGTATTTAGGTAATTCTTGGCTATTTTGCTGGGCCTCGAACACTTAGGTTACGGATTTTTATAATTTGGCATAATTGTTTATCCATAGAAGTGAGTTTTTTCTGAGATTTTCATGACAATATCTTAATTATATCGAAATTTATTAAAAATTAAAGAAAAATAATAAAAAAATTCAAAATGTTATATTTTACAAACTACTACAAATATCCAAATCGAATATTTTTTAAAACTAGAGACATAGACGCACTTTGTGCGTTACCTACCCTAAGTAAACTTAAGGTCATTCGTTTATTACATAATATATAATAGAACGGTAGAAATCATTTATTAGTAAATTATTTGTTTTTAAAATAAATTAATTATCACTATTGAGTTTATAGTCATACTACTGTGGTTTATATATAGTACTACTTGTTTTATTTTGTGGAATTGGTATATAAAACGGGCTTCGATTCAAATATATATCTGTAAATTATTTGTTCCTTTTTTATGCGAGAGGTTCATTATTTATTTTTTTTTATATAATAGTTTATAAAACTATAATAGTTTATAAAAGTATATAAAAACCCGAAGATTTATATACCATTTGTTTCTTAAGTTCTTACAAGTAAAAAGAGCATTAATTGCTCGAACAATAATTAGTCGCACTCGAGGTACTATCATTAATTGATAATAATTGGTTCTACGATCTATAATTAGAGAATCCATTGGGGGAAGCAACCAAAACTCTTTTCCATTGATTGTAAATTTATAGCAATATATAGAGATCCCTTAACAAATTGCATCAACAGCTTAGCTCACTGCTGGTGACCATAGCCAAAGATTGGCAAACGGTGACAGATCGTAAGGAACGTGAAATATTAACTAAAAATACTGCACAAGGTCGACTTTTACTAATTATCTATACATGTAAGTAGAGTATTCGTAATTATTACTTTACTAAATAGGAGAACAAGATACTATACAAGAGGTTTATAATTACAGAATATAGTTATAATTTATTGTGAAACGACAAAAAATCAAATTATGCCTACTTTTCTCCTATATTGTAAATGATGAAATACTATCAAATATAAGTACTAATATTTTATTTCAGATTATATACATGGCGCATGGGTATTGTACACCCTCATGCCCTTTCTACCCTTAGCATTGGACTATATGCTACCTTTAAATGACTCGCGCCCAGTATTAATGCCATTTTATGCAAATTATTTGTTCTTTGAACAAAGCGATTATCATTATTGGGCTTGTGGTCACATTGCTGTATCTTATTTAGCACCACTTGTTCTATTTTGTGGACTTGATACAATCTATGTGATAAGCGTCAAACATACCTGTGGATTATTTGAAATCGTATGGTAGAAAACTCAAATTTATTTCTAATTGCATAATATAATGAGAAAGTGATAATTAGTATTGACATACCAATTATCACTTTGTGCGTTAACAACTACACAATTGAATACATTTGTAATTTAACTCACAGGATTTGGCTTTTAAAATTCCATGATTTATGCATAGTTGCTCATAAAACAATGTTGTTCTAGTATTCAAAAAATAAATTGTACTCTGGGTCATATTTAATCATTTATATTTGGTTTCAACAGGGCTTGAGTCCTTTGAAGCAAGCACGGCTCAATTTTTTAGGATTCGATCTTTATTCATATAAAACCATCATTTGATATTTAGCCTTTAATCATTCCGAGAATTTTAGTTAAATAATAAACATAATATATATTTTCACAATATATACTTCGCAATAGATTATATTACATCTACGGATAGAAGTATTTGTATGTTTTCAGTCGCAGACTAGAGACTTTATTAAAAAGTGAAAAGGGTCAACAATTAAGTAAACTTCCAGATAATCCAGACCTAGTTATGAAATTAAGTGAAACGATTCAATTACACAATGATACTATTGGGTTTGATTATTCGATCATGAATGTAAAACATTAATTAAAATAAAAATATATACAGCTCACGTTTAACTTTCAGATGCTGCGATTTACTAGAAAATTCATTTAATTTGTGTTTTTTGATGGTGAATTGTATGAGCGTGGTCACGATAGCCTTGACTTGTGTATATGTACGAATGTACTTATTAAGTTTGAGATACATCTTCATAAATTGATCCTTAAAATACTTGTATCATTACAGATACTTTTTGTTTATAGTGATTTGTTCAAATTGATACGGATTGTTGCTTTCTTAGTTGGCTTAATTATGCATTTATTGTACTTGAACTGGGTTGGTCAACAAATAATTAATAGCAGCGAACAGGTTTTTATATCTGCGTTAGTAATGATATATATTTTGGATAAGTTTATAGAGAGTGTTTTTTAGCAGATATTATGAATTTGTATTTTACAAAAATAAATTATACTGACTTTATTATAAAACAGATATTTTAGTGACTGGTATTTGATACCAAACAGTACCAAAAAATTCATCAACATAATTATGATTCGTTCTTTAGTACCTTGTACACTAACGTCTGGCAAACTAGCAAATCTTTCCATGGAAAATTTCGGAATTGTAATACATATATATGACATTAGTTACATATATAACGATAAATGGATTTTATGTTGGAAATAATCATTATGTAACTTTCATATTTTTCAGTTACTGAAATCTGCGATGTCGTACTTTACTGTGATCTTATCCTTTTATGAATAAAAAAGTTAATTAAACGATCAAATCATACGTTTCACAATGAAACACAGTAGTATTTAATTGGGTATTTTCTGTAATGAACTTCTTTCAACTGTAAGTATAAATCGGTATAAATGAAAACAAATTTTCAGATACGAAGTAGATTTTTAATTCAATAAAAAATATACATTTATTATGTTATGTTGTTTCATCGTATGAGGCAATTCTGTTTGATGTTTGAGTCAGGGAAAAGAACTTCCGATGAGGAGGATAAAACGAAGCCACGCTTAACATGTTACTAACAATCAGTGTAAAGATAACAATAAATATAAATGTTTATTAGAATATTTTTAACCATTACATTATTACATAAAAGCTTTAACAATTCCGCGAATCATGAGTATATCTCGACGAAGGGAAATTCAATATCTGTATCTTTTAGATTTTCTTGTATTCAGTTATTAGCTAGCTCGTTCATTTTTGGAGAAAACATACTATGCCACGCTTGACTTTTTCCTTGTCGTATAAATGTGTCCTTCTTGAATATCACTTCCGCCTTATCACGTGTAAAGTTGACCATCTCATTGTTTTGCAGATTATGAAATGTTAAATGGTTAACTCATTTCTCATACTGTTCTTCCATGTATGATTTTCCTAAGAGATTGGCGACTTGTTTCGTCGTAGCTAGTAAGTCCTGTAGACATTTCAATGTTTATTCATGCAAATCAGTCGAATAAAGTATAATTATATTCAGCAATGAATGAAATATTCATTTTGCACAGTCACGTGAATCATTTCTTCATAAAATAAAAATAAAAAGTTTGGCTCGTGTCGATGTAGCCTATTTAGTTCCTCCCTGTGTCATGTATGTCATCGCTCCTTTATGTGTTTGAATCAACGACTGAACGAAACTTATTAAAACAGAAAATCATGAGAATGAATGTTGCAACAGCAGAATATCTTGTATAAATAAGAGAAAAATAATACCTTAATCATTTTGTAAGTAGTTCCAAAACCATTCAAAATCACCACAATAATCATAAGCTTTAACACTTTGATGAAAATGATAATAAGATACTGGCACATTTTTCGGATTACGGACTACATAAACTACCGGCAACAGAAACACAATACACTTGGGCTCCAAACTACATACACAGCGAATTTTACTTTTCAATGAGAAATCCACATATTTTACATATGGATTTCAAAATATTTGGAATCAAACTTAGTAAAAAAATGAGTTTTTATAAATCTTGAGCTTGTCATTAGTGTTTGCCGACTCATCTTTATTCCTACAGAATACGAATGTCTTCCATTTGTCGATGATATTGCTCTCGAAGCAACTGCTAAAGATACAAAGACTGCCATCGGATTATTAGAACATAATCTAAAAAGTGTTAATACTTTCCTTAAAAGAATCAATCTTTCCTTATCACTTGAAAAAACTAATACATACACACCAATCATATATACGCTATATCCTCTGGAGTGCATCCTGTCACGTAGCCTTATGGTCCATTATAAGCCTAAGGTGATGATGTAACGAGAGCTGTTCTCGTTCCCAAGACGTTGGGGTTGGGACATCGACCTTTTATGCGGACAGCATCTCTCTCTCTCTCTCTCTCTCTGCAAAGGCGACGAGTTGGTAAGTTAGCGTATTTGAATGGCCATTCAAATACCGCGATATTCTCCTTAAATGTACCCGGTATTGCAGCTTGTAATAATCTCAACCTCCTTGTACATTTAACCGTTGTATATTTGAAACTTAATTGTAACGTCAATGGCTTTTCCCCCAATTACGGGTGGGATTTTGTATTAAATATTAATTCCTTTGCAATAAAAACACCATTTCTTTAAATAACTGACAGATCTCCTTATTTATTTGAAACTCGCATGATACTCCTATCCTTCATCTACAGGTAAAACCTTTTATTTACTATTTTCAGCGGAGGCTAGAGCTAAAATTGCAATACCTTCAGTTCTCTAAATACAATCTATTAATGTTCGTTATGAATTTCTTTTAATTCGTGAAATAGTAATTTTTTACTTTATTTGTACTACTTCCAGAAAATTTCAATCATTGTTTCATGATCGTTCAATTTATCAAAGTCGTTAGTCAACTGTTTATTTGTCTTCGAGAATATTTACATTATAACAATTGGCAACATTAGCAGCATTGTTTTTTTATCTTTGTTTTGTCTTGCAAATATTCGTAACATGCAAAGAATCAATACATAGTATGTATGAAAAGCACTAGGTGTCGGCAACATCGTAGCATTCAAACCATTAGACTTGCACACCTGAATGTTTCAACAATCTTTCGCACAGAGCGGGTTGTTGATGTTGCCTTTGTTTAAAATTCAAACGCGTCTTAAACGTGAGATGCTATAGTGACAATCATTGTGGATACGGTCGCCATCAAGCAAAGTTATAATGTACTTTCTTGTTTCTTATTTGATTCAGAAAGTCGTTAAAGACTAAACAAGTAACATAAATACCTGCCCTTACTTGTACAAATTTACGAGCTACTAATGAACCCTTGACCAAGGGAGGGTAGGTGTTCAACATGTTGTGCTTTATTTTTCTGTCGGAACCAGTGTTCATAATGTTGTTCACTGTTTATGGATCTCTGAATGAAGATCAGGAAACACAAAAGTATCCGAATAAGGTCTGTTGATATTATTAAAGTAGCAGACAAACAAGAGCTTTATTATTTATAGGAGTGGAAGAACGAGCGGTATTACCTCATATGACAGTAGCAGCTGTAGCAGTATAATAAGAAAAATGCTACCAACTACATTGACGGAGTTCTTGCTCAAAGAATGACAAGAATTATGTAATACTTATCTTTTTCCGATATCTGTCTCAAAATTTGTTTATAAAATTAATGTAATAGTTAAATAACTATTGCGTGATAAAGATAATAAATCTACAATTAAACAAATAAATAAATGAGTAGTATGTAAATTTACGTATAAGCCAAATGAATTTAAAAGATATTATCATTGCTCATTGTGAGCTCTAACACCCTTTAAAATATTTTATGAAAGCAGGAAATTCGTGTAACAAAAATAGACTAATATGTATTTTGAAAAATAAACAGAAAAACACGTAAAAAGCGACTATTTAAATAATTTCTAAACATGTAATAAATATTTAACTATAACTTTTCCAAAATTATGCCGCATTGCTTGGCTAATTAAACTATACACACAAAGTTTCAGTGAAATGACTCCAAAATGATAAAAATTCTAGGTGATAACATACACACATACGGAAAAATACGTGTTTTTAAGTATGAAATACATTTTTAACGATAACTATGACATTTACGCAATGAAAATACCATATAGACTTCATACACGTACGAACTTTCAATAAGATATCTTCAAAATCACAAAAATGTCAGGTATCGATTAATACCACAAAAAAACAGCATTAAAAAAAATTAAATCATAGACTTCTAACTTAAATGAAATAATATATCATATTAATAAGTGGAGTCTAATATAACCACACAAAATAAAATTGAACAAAAAAATCATAGAAACAAAAAAATTACAGCGAAATAGAGAATAATATTCCGAATCGCGAAAACAGTGCTTCCACTTCAAGGAAGCAAAACGATCGAGCCTTAATCTATCTCATCAGAGCGAGTGCTACTTCGACAATCTCGACGACTGTATGAACGTCGTAGCAGAACTTGAAAAAAACAGAAACTCGAATTACGTTACAAAAAAGAGTTCTTCAATAAAGAAGGAATATTCTTAAATTAAGTATGCAGAAAATTCAACTTCACGATGTTTTTTAGAGAAGCAGCTAAACAAGTTATACACGTGAAATTGAAAATAGGTCTCATTTGTTATATCCAGAAGTGCTCGATGTGAAAATATTGATCTTTGTAATTGCAAATAATCGCGAGAAAAGCGAAAAACACAAAAGTTTTTAAAATTGCTGCTTTCGTACTAGTTTATTGTAGTATACCGTAAACAATATAGTAAAACAGTAAGAATTATTATCAAGAAAATATAAGCATTCGATTGTTATGAAAATAAAAAGTTGCTGTGGCTAAATTAAGCAAATGATGTTACTGTGATAATCCTGAAGACGAGATAACATAATATAAATGCTATTATTGTAGTCCATAGAAATAATTGTATTACTGGATCTCCTTGAATCGATTGGTTTTTATATCTATGTCTACGTCGTATTTTGATATAATTGCTGTAACCATCATCCACCTTTCCACGTAAAATGATTATAGAATAATTACATCAATTTTCAGACTCGCTCTAGGTCTTTAAACGTCAAAGAATAAATTTTTTTAATCGTGAAATGACTATCTTGCTTGCGTGATCGACATTTTTTTTCGAAGCCCAGAGCTTATGTTCAAAATATCTCAGTAACATGGACATTTTCGATGGTTATTATTATAAAAGTTGTAAAAGGTTTATGTCATTATGTGGATTGTGGCCTGAACAAAATAACAAAAGTCGATATTTAAGGTTGATTGTTTTCGTAATCTTTAATGCTTCATTGGCGGTGCCACAGGTAATTTTCTTCAAGAGAAATCATAAAATACGTATGTTTTATTTTAAATGTACGTTGATTGAAAAAAAATGTTGAAGTTTGAATTTAAAAAAATTCTAATAATATTACTTTATACTCAATACAGCTCATTCTTTTAATTCAACAGTTCGGAAAAGATATGGCAATAACTTTTGAAAATTCAGTTTCAGTTATGTTTGCTTTAGGTGTATTTGCGAAATATCTAGTTGCTTTTGTAAATAAAAAGCGGGTAAGCTGTGAACATTTTTATTTAATTTTATATTATTAATAGATAAGTACTTTTTCAAATAAAGTTTATAATATTATTCTAATGGAAAGACAAATAAAACATTTAATCATGATAGTATTTAGGTAATTCTTGGCTATTTTGCTGGGCCTCGAACACTTAGGTTACGGATTTTTATAATTTGGCATAATTGTTTATCCATAGAAGTGAGTTTTTTCTGAGATTTTCATGACAATATCTTAATTATATCGAAATTTATTAAAAATTAAAGAAAAATAATAAAAAAATTCAAAATGTTATATTTTACAAACTACTACAAATATCCAAATCGAATATTTTTTAAAACTAGAGACATAGACGCACTTTGTGCGTTACCTACCCTAAGTAAACTTAAGGTCATTCGTTTATTACATAATATATAATAGAACGGTAGAAATCATTTATTAGTAAATTATTTGTTTTTAAAATAAATTAATTATCACTATTGAGTTTATAGTCATACTACTGTGGTTTATATATAGTACTACTTGTTTTATTTTGTGGAATTGGTATATAAAACGGGCTTCGATTCAAATATATATCTGTAAATTATTTGTTCCTTTTTTATGCGAGAGGTTCATTATTTATTTTTTTTTATATAATAGTTTATAAAACTATAATAGTTTATAAAAGTATATAAAAACCCGAAGATTTATATACCATTTGTTTCTTAAGTTCTTACAAGTAAAAAGAGCATTAATTGCTCGAACAATAATTAGTCGCACTCGAGGTACTATCATTAATTGATAATAATTGGTTCTACGATCTATAATTAGAGAATCCATTGGGGGAAGCAACCAAAACTCTTTTCCATTGATTGTAAATTTATAGCAATATATAGAGATCCCTTAACAAATTGCATCAACAGCTTAGCTCACTGCTGGTGACCATAGCCAAAGATTGGCAAACGGTGACAGATCGTAAGGAACGTGAAATATTAACTAAAAATACTGCACAAGGTCGACTTTTACTAATTATCTATACATGTAAGTAGAGTATTCGTAATTATTACTTTACTAAATAGGAGAACAAGATACTATACAAGAGGTTTATAATTACAGAATATAGTTATAATTTATTGTGAAACGACAAAAAATCAAATTATGCCTACTTTTCTCCTATATTGTAAATGATGAAATACTATCAAATATAAGTACTAATATTTTATTTCAGATTATATACATGGCGCATGGGTATTGTACACCCTCATGCCCTTTCTACCCTTAGCATTGGACTATATGCTACCTTTAAATGACTCGCGCCCAGTATTAATGCCATTTTATGCAAATTATTTGTTCTTTGAACAAAGCGATTATCATTATTGGGCTTGTGGTCACATTGCTGTATCTTATTTAGCACCACTTGTTCTATTTTGTGGACTTGATACAATCTATGTGATAAGCGTCAAACATACCTGTGGATTATTTGAAATCGTATGGTAGAAAACTCAAATTTATTTCTAATTGCATAATATAATGAGAAAGTGATAATTAGTATTGACATACCAATTATCACTTTGTGCGTTAACAACTACACAATTGAATACATTTGTAATTTAACTCACAGGATTTGGCTTTTAAAATTCCATGATTTATGCATAGTTGCTCATAAAACAATGTTGTTCTAGTATTCAAAAAATAAATTGTACTCTGGGTCATATTTAATCATTTATATTTGGTTTCAACAGGGCTTGAGTCCTTTGAAGCAAGCACGGCTCAATTTTTTAGGATTCGATCTTTATTCATATAAAACCATCATTTGATATTTAGCCTTTAATCATTCCGAGAATTTTAGTTAAATAATAAACATAATATATATTTTCACAATATATACTTCGCAATAGATTATATTACATCTACGGATAGAAGTATTTGTATGTTTTCAGTCGCAGACTAGAGACTTTATTAAAAAGTGAAAAGGGTCAACAATTAAGTAAACTTCCAGATAATCCAGACCTAGTTATGAAATTAAGTGAAACGATTCAATTACAC